CTCTTTCCTGTGGCATATCTGGGTGAGCTGTGCAACCAAGTGCTTTTTTCTTTTTGTTCTCCCCTTCATCCATGTCCCTACCTTCCTCTTGAAGTCAAACATGTAACCTGGTCCGTTGCTTTGGATTCTCTTTGACAACGTGTGCTACTTAGTGATTTCTTGTCTTTCTGCCTTGGTTTTCATGTTGTTCTTCTGCAGTCTGCACCAGAGCAGAGGACAATTGTGATTTCTGAGTCTTTGCACTCTGTCTTTTTCTGTCATCTAATTAATTCAAGGCTCTGTCCTGAGTTGAAAGGATGTGGTGCAGTACTCTGTCAGGGTCACAGAACACTGTCAGGCAACTAGGAAAGTGCAAAAGAAGGGAGAAGCTATAAACAAACCAGAGCTGTTTTTGTTTCTCTCTCCTCCTCCTGCATACAGGCTGTTTATTGTCATGCTGCCTCACGTTCTGCTGTGTGCAGTGTTCCTTCGGGGAGAGACACCGTGCCTCGGGGTGTATAGCACCTATTGAAAAAAAAAATCAAATCTGTCCAGGGCTGCAGCAGCAAATGCTAATGAATCAGGACATGGGAATGTATAAAATTTAAACTGCTTTTAGGAATGGCTGGTAGGGTGGCCTGGACTTTGCTCCTGAGGAAGGACATGAAATGCCTACGTAACCTTGTGTATGTCAACATTCATGCCTAGGGACAGAGCAGACCTCTGGAGAGCTAACTTTGGGCAGATAAAACACACTGTAAGCCTGTAAACTGCTGTGGGCACTGAAGCACTCAAATGGGAAGCAGAACTGCAGGGTGGCCATGCCTGACTTGCAAATGGCAACATGAACTGCATTTGAGGGAATCCTGCCCCAGGAGCTCTTGGCGAATGTAGGAGAATTTGTGTGCCTGCCTCTGCTTACCTCAGGTCTGCTTCGCCTCCTGGCAGTCTGCCATCCCAGGCCTCATCCTAAAGATTTAAGAGCATGCAGCAGTCATGGCTGGTGTCTCTTCATACCTGCTTTTTTAGAGAGGACCTGGGGGCTTCCTATCTTAGCAGGCTCTCAAAATTTGCCCACCTCATAGCTGCTATTCTGCATGACTAAGAAGTATTCCTGGTCTAGATTGCTATGTCAAGCTTTCTAATTAAACTTTATATTTTCTGCTCCTTCTACCTATTTTATCTCCCTTTCATTTCTCATCATATCTCATTTTTCTAGATGGGGGGGGGGGGGGAAGGAGGAGGAGGAAAGGAGCATCTCTCTGTATTTGCATTGTACATCTTATGCTAACCTAAGGTTCTCTGTAACCTCACTAACAGCAGCAAGTTGGTGCTGTAAATATCTGCAAATATTTATGATATTAGTGTTTTATCTACCAAAGAAGTGGAATGGTGGTTTATATCCTCTAGATACTTTAGACTACAGATATTTAATCCTTGTCTACCTGCTTTATCCAGATAATGTCTATGTGTAGTTCTATTGGTCCTATTGTTTAGCTGTTCTTGATTTTCGTCAGTCAAGCCAGTGGTATCTGAATGTAGCACACTAGTTAAAGATTGATCTTCTTTACTCTTAGATTTGTTTGAATCCTTTCTTATCTTTAACCTATTACCACTGTAGCGCTACTAGGTATTCAGATAATGGACTAAATGATTAACAAAACTTGACAAAATCGTATTTCTTCTACATAATCTTCAAGTCTTGCAAAAGCCAACTTCCACACTGGCAAGCAGCACTTTGACCAAGTAAGCTAGCACTGGCTTTGTCATGATGAGTACACACGGTGGAAAAGGCAAGATGAGATGTCTTCCTGTGCCTGGGGTAGTGAATTTGAAAATGCAGCCAATTCAGCACATACGTACAGTCAGAGTGTGTCTTTTAGAATGGATTAGTTGTATCTGAAACTTTTGGAAAAGAAGAGCTCCTCACTCATGCACCATGTCTGATACTGCTGTCTTCTCCACTGTTCTCAGAGCTGCTTTTGCACTGTGAGCATTTGGGATCTGCTTCTTGCTGCATTCAATAGAGAAGCAAATTGTACTCATCAGCATGCAATTCCTCCCGCACATGTTTTTCATCCACTCTCTTGCTGGCTTGAGTCCCTGAAATGTTTTACGAGCTTTATGAAATTCAGCATTAGGTGGGATTAAAACAACCTGGATCCTCAGGACAATGAAGGCAGCAGCCCAAGGAAAGCAATGAAGAAACAGACCTGAAAAATTTCTGTCTGGCAATTCTGCTAGACAAAGCCATTTCTGAGTTAAGTGGTGGCAAGCCCAGGCCCAAGTGTAAAGCTGGACTAGAGGGAACCCCCACCACCCTCTTCAATCAGATGTTTTTGCAAACCTGTGCCTCAAGCTGCAGGAAGGAGGGAAGAAGAGGCCAGGACCTTCAACAGAGAGATGAACACATAGTACTCAGCAACATCTCTACTCTGTGTGCTGGGGCACATGCAGGACATGTCTAGTGTGACCAGATCCCCTAAGAAAGGAACAATGTTTAAGTTAGCCTCAAACGAGAGTAATTCTTTTCAGCAAGACTCCTCTAAGCCTGACTTCCTGCCAGGTTCCCTTCCCCATGCTCAGGATCAGGGTCTCTCCTGCTCTGCAACCTTGTAGTAACAAACAGGTCAGAAACTCAAGGCAGCATCATCTAAGAAGCAAGAATGAAGACCCAAAACATGTGCTAAAACCTGCATGGGATTTAACACATGGCCCAGGCTTGTCTTGCCTTGCTGCTATAGTGTATCAAGGCCAAGCTTGTAGCTGAATTTAAAAACTCTCAGTAAAAGTGACAAAGCTTTGTGGCTTGGTGCTTGCTAGAGATTTATGCTGGGCTAATAATACCTTTGTTGTCTTTCTTTGAAGACCACATCCTTTAATCAGAAGCAAAGACTGAGAATTTGCAAGGCAAATGCCCCTCTCTGTGGATGAGCATCAGAAAGCAGACAGCACCAACCTACAAGTGGTTTGGTGAGAGAAAAATACAGTGTTTAATGTGAGGATCTCCTGGCTTGCTATGTGTATTTGTCTCAAGCCACCGCTCTGGCCACCGGTTTCTGCTCCTGTGTAAACAGAAGTCTGCCTCAGCAGTGTTATGGTTCAGATCAACTGAGTCAGTAAAATGACACAGCAGAAAAATTCTCCCCTCCCTCGTTTCTTTCCTGTTGCTAGCTTAATTGCAGCCAGACCCAATTCCTGTGGTATGGTCAGATGTAAGAGGGCAGCTGAGGCACAGCCTGTATGTGCACCCAGCAAGGGAGAGCTTTTGTCCTCCCCCAGTCTGCCCAGCTGGAGATGAAAAAGTCTGAGGATCAAAAGACCCTTGAAGAAGCCCAGAAGACTGTCACTTCAGGAGTGGGCTAGAGGAAAGCAAGAGCCTCCAGCCAGATGCTTTAGTTGGCAGATCTGGTTCCTCCCCATATCTCAGTTCTGCATTTCTATGCCATTGGGATGTACTTAGGCACAGGAGGCAGAGAAGTGTTTTGTTTTGTTTTGTTTTGTTTTGTTTTGTTTTGTTTTGTTTTGTTTTGTTTACATTCCATGAAGTGAAGGGAAGCAGCACCTCTGCCTGAGGAGCAGCCGAGTAACTGAAACCACCTGTCAAGAGGAACCCAAACCTCTAATTGTGCTGCTTCAGAGAGCGCTTCTCCTGCACCACTGTGCAGGCACCATGTGGAGCAGCAAATTCGTGGCTCAGAAGAACACTTCTGCTCCCAAGCACACCGGTTTCTTTCCTCACTGTCCCAGGCATGTGATAAGAGGGCTGTCACCGCAGCACAGGGAGGGTGAGGGAGTGTTTATGATTGAAATACCCTTGGACACAGATGTGCATGCTTGGTGAAGCACTAGGACAAAAGTCTTCAGTGCACACACATTTTTCTCAAAGAGGGAAGTTAAAGTGCAAACTAAACATGAACTTGAGCTGCTTCTGCCCCACAGAGTGACTGCAAATAACATCCTTATTCAGCAAGCCTGAATCTTGAGTGTATCTATGGCAAAATTTGCCCTCTTGACAGATCTCTAAAACTGTTTCAGAACCCCCACAATCCCCCCTGTTCTTGACTCCTCTCAGCCCTGTAGAGCATTGCAGCTGCACGGAATGTGAGTACCTGTTTTGCTTACTGAGTCAGCATGTCTGCATATAGGTGACATAGGCATGCATATAGGAAAGTATGCAGATAGGTGAACCTTTGGAGTTTTTTATTACTGGTATTTATTGAGTAGCTAGAGGCATGCTCCTGCTTATCTGACCCTCAAACCGTCAGCAAGAACTGTTGTTAGGAAAATGCAATTCTGTACAGAGCTGCTGTGCAGAGGGTGGTTAAACCGGAGGCAATTGATAGCGTGACTTAACAGCGCTGATATAAATTATCTTTATAAACCAAAAAAGCAGGCCTTTCCTGCACTCGTAACTCCAAGGAGCCTGAGCAGAACAAGCTTATTTATAGTAAGACAATAGTGCTTGGGAACAGGAGGTTGAGGAGAAACTGTGACAGCAAACCAGCGGAAACCGATCTTCCTGCTTTCACACGTTCTTGGAGCCGGGGACACATGGCAGCGTGATGGATGACGGGTGACCAAGGAGGGCTGCCTTACCCCCCGGGGGGTCACAGGGCCTCAGCAGGCGTGCAGCTGGGTGGTATTGTCATGGTGTGGCACCCTCGAAGGGTGACACTGCCAGGACCATCCCTGGCCCCAGCTGAGGATTTCCAGAGAAATCCCCCCTGGGAGTGATGAGCCTTCCAGAGGGGTGAGGAAGGGAAGGAGGGAAACAGGGGGCTGCCCCTCACCCTCCAGCCGTTCCCTTCGAGCTAGGGATGGACGTGCATGGGCCGTGGGGCCACGTACCGGCCGCACCGCGGCGTTTTGGCAGCTTCCACCGAGAAAGCAAACCCTCGGCATCCCGGCGCCGGGGGGCTCCACCGCTCCGCCCCGCACCGCCGGTTCCCCTTGCGCGGCCCCCGGAGCGGGGGGCGGCCCGGCACGGCGGCACCGCCCCGAGACGGGTCGGGACGGGACGGGACGGGACGGGACGGGACGGGACGGGACGGGACGGGGGGCTTCGCCGCCTTTGCCCGGGTCCCGGCGGGGGTTGCGTGAGAGCATCGGGCACTCCCCGCCACCGCTTTATATAACCCGCCGCCCGCACCCGGTTATAAAACGCCGCCGAGGCAGCGCCGCAGCCAGAGCCGCGTGTCCGCCGCCCGGAGCGCCTGGCGGCCCGGAGGTAACGGGCAGGGACCGGGACCGGGACCGGGACGGGGACCCGGAGCGGGAGCGGGCCAGGGACCGGGAGCGCGGCAGGGAGCGGGACCGGGAGCAGGAGCGGGACCGGGACCCCGAGTCCCTGCGGGCGGCGCTGTCCCCGAGCGCTTTGGGGTGCGGTGCCGGTGCTGGTACCGGTGCCGGTACCGGTGCCGGTACCGGGGTCGGTACCGGGGTCGGTACCGGGGTCGGGGGGTGGCTGCCCGCGGGGTGCTGCTGCCCGCGCCCACCTGTAGCCTCTGCCGGGCCGGCTGCATCCTTCTGTCATCCTCGCTCGTGCCCGCAGGGCGCTGGCAAGGTGGAGCGGTGCTTATCGGTAACACTGCAAAAACACGTATAGAGGGGTTCGTAAAGGGAGCCTTTACAACCTCTGGGGTTGTAAAGGGAGGAACCTGGCTATCCGAAGCACATGTGAGGTTTACAAACAGTCGAATGTTCAAAAGTCTAACCGGGTCTTTGCCCTTGCTGTCGTGGTCATCTTTTTTTTTTTTTTTTTTTTTTTTTTTCCCTCGAATGTGTTGTGCAACCTTTATATATAAGCCTTCTCTTGCTGATGTAAGCAGCAGATCCTTTCTTGCTTCCCACAGGCAAGGCTTTCCCAGGGGTTACCAGCCACAGGATGCGTCCAAGTTAAACAACCCTTCCTCTTCTCCCCCCTGTCACTCTTCCTTTACTTATAAAGAAATAAAAACTACAACAATTTCTTGAGCTTTCATAGAATGATTGATGTTGGAAGGGACCTCCGGAGGTCATCTGGTCCAACCCTCTGCTCAGGCAGGGCCACCAATAGCTGGTTGCCCAGGACCGTGTCCAAGCGACTTTAAGTGATAGGAAAGGGATAGTTTCTGTTTTCTGTTTGTTTGTTTGTTTTGTTTTTGTTGTCTTTGTTTTTTAACCTGGCTCTTGGAGTTCCCATTTCTTAAGAGTGAGACCATCTCACCTCCTGAGCTATCTGTTGCTTCTGCAGTGATTGGTCCTATTGGTTTTCACCGTCTCAGTCCTGGAGGGAAAGAAGTGTAAATGGTGGGAAAGGGGTGTTTTGTGGGTGCAGATGGCAGGAAAAAGATCACTTCTGGAATACATCTGCCTTCCCATGAAACTCAGATAATGAATGAAACTCAGCAGATGTCTTTGTGCATGGTTCTTTCTCCTCATTCATTATCCTGGTGACAGCCTTGGCTTTCCACACAATAACAGTAACTTTTTAAGCTTTCCAACAAACACCTTTGTGCCAGCAGCTAAAAGGGAAGTAAATGATTAGACTAGTTTGTGTTATTCTAACCTGTTCCCTTCAGTTTCTGGAAAGGGCATGTAGTGTTTCCCATCTTCCTTGCTGTGATTGCCTGGAAAGGGGACAAGAAGGTTTTTGGCTGTGAGGTCACCTGGATAAAAGGCAGGGTGCAGGCTAAGCTCAGCCCTTGCCTGGGCTGCAGAACGTGTGGACCACAGGGTTTCCAAGTTCTTCCCATGCAATGTCAAGACAAGAAGTTTAAACTTTTATTTTTCTATTTTTTAAATGAGTGAAGGGGTTCAAACTTGGTCTCAGTCATTTACAGCAGCAGAAAGTGAAGCACCCCCTTGACAAATTAGCTCTGTTGCTATGACTACTGAGTGAAGCAGTGTTAATGGTTATGGCAGTATTAATACTTTTCCTGCTGTGTAGGTGCTGCTGCACGGGCAGGGAGAACAGCTCTTTCCCTTTGCTGGTCTCATGCTCTTCCTTCCAGGTGCTTCCATCCTGAGCTACAGAAGCAGCTTATCTGCTGGAATTGGGATGGCTTATAACTTTCCCTGTGATTTCAAACAGACACCATATTTAATTTTCCGTAATATACCCATTTGTACCCTTCTTTTCTTTACTGTGGGATGTCCCAGATCTCTCCCTGTGTGAGAAGGGAATACTTCTGTTCTTCAGGATGAATTGTGCTCGCAGACAAATCCAAGCTTCTCTTCCTCCTTGTAGCTGTGAAGCGTCTTGATACTGGCATGACTGAAACATGCTAAGCAATATGTGTAACTGCATTTTAATCAAATTGATATCACTGAAACAAACTCGTGCCAGCAAATAAGGTTTTCTCTGCCGTCTTTGTGGGGGTATGAAGCGGATTAAGCATGTTCTACCTGATGGAGGGGAGCTTCAGTCTCTTTAGCTTAAGCATAGCAGCTTGCATCTGTAGCCCCCACGGTGTCAAGCAAGGCATTGACCATCACAAACAGACTTGGTTTTTACCTCATCGGATGTTCTTTGAACTAGTGTCACTTCTTCAAGAACATCCATGTCTTGTTCCTAAAGGCTGTGTGCATTGTTCTAAGTGTTTCTATGCCTTTGGGGACTACTGGATGTCTTCCAGTGCGGATGTCCATCCTTTTGGAAACTTGGCACTTGTAAGAACTGAAGTGGTGTGCATGAACGTGCTTTTTCAGGACACCTTCTGCAGACCTCTTTGCTCACGTGTCTTCTTCCCTGAGTGTTTTTGTGTTCTTTGTCTCAGTAGATGGGAACTGCCCAAAACAACAGCAGCCCCAAAAATCTTCATGCAGTGGAGTTTGACCTGTGCAACAAGGACACAATGGCAGACACATTTGATCACAGCATCATTTCTGTTGGAGAAGAGGAAGGAGCAGGCACTTTCCAACGTTCTCTTCCAACACGGGAGTCCCTCCGATCCCCTCGGGGCTCTGTCGTGAGTTTCCATAACATCCAGTACTCCGTTAAGCAGTCCAGTGGATTCCTGTGTAGACGGAAGACTGTGGAAAAGAAGATCCTTCAAAATGTTTAGTAAGTTCCTAACTAGAACTGTCAAGTCAACTAACTAGAACTTGACCTAACTAGACCTAACTGACGTAACTAGGAATTAATCTGCTGCTGTGAATCAGTGACCTGAGTGTCACTTTCCAGATTCAGCTGTACTGTTAGAAAAATGACTACCCTCCTGTCAGTCTGCTGTTCATGTGAGCACTTGCTAATTTGCCTTAGGCATAACAATTAGGATATAACTGGAGCAGTTTCAGATCTAGGCAGATTAGGACCAAACTTGTGTGAACTCTTCTGCCAGAAGATCTGAGGGTTTCCTTAACTATGGACTGAGCTGTGGTGGGAGGAAATAACTAACAGAGGGCAATTGTTTCTTCTTTTCCAGACCCAGCTCAGCTGGGAAGATGCATAATTTGCCTTTTGTAGGTTGCTCTGCATGTCCAGCTCTGGTTTTGTTCTGAGTGGCAGTTTGGGACAAGAAAGGAAAATGCTTACTGATTTCACATTTAAGGAGAAGTTCCTAATAATCTTGAATTTTTTCCTTCAACAATTCTGAAAATGTCAATAATTTTGTTCACATCTGACCTCTACTATGAGCTGTATGTGAACAGTCCTGCATTTGGGAATAACTCTTTCCTTCTTTCAGTGGCATTATGAAGCCAGGCTTGAATGCTATCCTGGGGCCAACAGGGAGCGGTAAATCTTCGTGAGTACTTTCTTTTGCTCTTTAAATGGGCAGTCAGCTGCTCAAAGGGGTTTTGGGACTGTTAGGGTTGGGGAAGATATGAGGGAGCCCCAAGCTTAGACTTGCATGTGCCTGGGAGAAATCTGGAGATGCAGCCAGACCTCCAATCCCTTTGATGTTGGCTTTGCTGGAGTTCTAGCCCTGCAGTGGTGTCACGCCCCTCATCTGCTCCAGCTGACGATCCGTATTACTGCAGTCACCATTAATGGTGGCCTGAGCGAAGACACCAGGCTGAACTGGGGTGACTGAAGCTCAGGTGTAGGCTTTGTCCCAGACCAGCCCTGGGGTGGGGATGAGGGCAAGGTCCCTTGGGGGCAGGAGGGAAGTCATCCTGGTGATGTTGCTATAGCAAAACTTCCTCCGAGATGCAGGGTCAAACCGCCCGACTGCCAAGAATGTGGTAATGTCAGTCTGTAGGATACCTGCTGGGGATCATCACCCCAGCCTGGCTGTGGCCTGGTGGTGGGAGTGCACATGCTTGAAAACTTTGGATGAAAGCACTGAGAAGTACCTTGCAGGCTCTCTCCAGCCACTGCTGATGCTGTTTTCTCTCCTGTATAAAAATGTTAAGAGAGTGCTATGTCATTCTTCCTTTGAGACTGTCTTGGACGGGCAAATATGGCCAGGGTTCATGCAGGTGTGTTGTTGTGGTGACCCTTGATCTTCCCCTCTAAGGAGACTGCCAACTGATCAGGATGTTTGCAAGAGCCAGACCTCGTTGGTATTTACATAGCTAGTAGACAGTCTGACCTCTAATTTGCAGTAAGGAGAATCCAGAGATATGTTAAACCAAAATGACTTTATGAAATTAATCTTGACTGTAGTCTTGTTTATACCAATTTGGATTAATTTGCTTGAGATCAAAGTAGTTTCTTCTGTGCTCCCCTGGCTGGAGAGCAGACAGCAGCTGCTTGGCAGGGTGCTTTTGTGTGCACGTCTGAGATTAACTGTTAGCTTGGAGGCTGAGTTAATGTCTGTAGGGGGCTGATGGCTCTGAGGGTCTGTATATTGCAATACTGCTGTGGCATAGCTGGCACTTGAGAATCCTCCATCTGCATCAGGCTTTCTGTACAAAAAAATGAAGCCCCCAGAGCAGAGGAAGCCCCTTTCAGTGCCCTGTGTTTGGTCTGGAGCGTGCCATGAGCAGGCTGTAGCTGCAGTCCTGAGTGGTGGCACTCACCCAGTCAAACATAAAAGCAGTTGTCATGGCAAAACCTAACCTCTGGTGTCTGTCTGAAGTCTGCTAGATGTGCTGGCTGCCAGAAAGGACCCGGCAGGCCTGTCTGGAGAAGTGCTTATAGATGGCATCCCACAGCCTCCAAATTTCAAGTGCATCTCAGGATATGTTGTGCAGGTGAGTAAATGCCTTCAGCGGAGGCCTGGGAGACCTTGGGAGGGAAGAGCATAGGTTTTGGAAAGCCTATTTTCAATAGGCTTTGAAAAGCGTCCTCCATGAGAAGAGGTGTATGTGTGGGGAACACATTGGATGGAGCTCACCACTACATGAATGAGAGATAGTGTAGTCTTCCCCGGTGAGTGAGTAGGTCTGCTGTGGGAAGAGGAACAGCTTCTCAAGAAAAAAGGCAGGGCTCTGTTGCATAACATGAGAAAAGCATGGAGCAAAGATGAACAAAAGCATGATAACATTGAGTAAGGTAATGTTCAATGATCCCTACAGAGTCTAATTTGATAATTCAGGTGTTACAGTATTGTCCTGTAACACTGAAGACAGAGGAGCAAACTGTTTACTCCAGCCAAGTAAAGTGTGGAGGTGTTTGGCTTCCCAAACCTGCATGGGTGCCCAAGCCACCCGGCTACAGTGGCTTGTTTTTTTTTCTTGTTTTTTTTGGTGTCCTGAAGTTCCAGAAAGAGTTCTAAAAATAAAAAAAATAAATAAATTAAATTTAAAACAGGGGTTGGTTGGTGGGAACCTCTCAACACCCAAAATCTCCTGTTGTAAAACTCAGTGGCAGTTCTAGTCAGCAGAGGTACCTTCAAGCTGTCCAACAATAATTCTAGGAAGTAAGCAGATCCTTGCTGTTCTTCCTCTGATTCTGGCTGGCTGGGGCAGAGCTTCGTTCCACTCAGACAGGAAAAGCTGGCTGAATCTGCGGAAGTGGGTGGAGGCCTGGACCAATAATAGACCCTCACAGCCCTGGGGGAGCTGAGGAGAAGGGGATTCTTGGCAGTTATATGAGCCTCTAAATCTGGAATCCATCCAGGCTTCTGTCTGCAGGCAGATACAAAATATGCAGCCTTTCTGAAAGCTGACAGCTGGGGGGCTTTTGAGAGGATGCATGTGACAAGACTGGTGATAAATTTTGGTGCTGCAGGTTAAAGATCCCCAAATCCTCATAAATGGCCAGGAAGTTTCTTGCAAGCGTTCCCAGTTTGAGACATCTGTTTCTCCAATGTCAAAAGCAAACAAATGAAACCTTGAAATGATTGGCAACTGGGCAAGACATTAAACAGTTGCTCTCCCCTCCTACCCCTGCGCACTACTCCCTATATTGATAAAAATGACCCAAAGAGTCATAACAAACTGAAGACTAAATGCATACGTATTTAACGTATTATCTGTTCTATGCAGATGGGTGTGTAAACCTGCTAAGTCACATGTTATCACTATTAAACTGCTAATGGTCTCTGCACTCACATCTTGCAAATGCTGAGCACTGGCAGCAGAAACAGCTACCTGCTCTGCCTCACTATAGCTTGTAAGGAAAGTGCACTTCCAGAACAATATGGTACCATCTGCACTTACACTCCTGAGCCTGAAAGCAGGCTGAGGGGGTGCTGGCCACAAGCTGGGAGCCTGCAGAGCTGCATTCTCCCTTTGACTTTACTGAGTGGTCTTGAATTCTGTGTTCTGTATGCTTTGAAGCAGCAGTTGTCACTCAGTCCAGTTTCCCCTGTGGTCCACAAACAGCTTATCCAGTAACTGCCACCACAGGGACTCCGGTGCCCAGTCAGGTAGGTGAGAGTGAGGCTTTTCAGCTGTCAATTTGTGCTGCTTTCAGGATGATGTTGTCATGGGCACCATGACAGTGAGGGAGAACCTGCACTTCTCGGCTGCCCTGCGACTCCCCAGCTCCATCAGCTTTCAGGAGAAGGAAGAGCGAGTCACCCAGATAATCAGCGAGCTGGGATTGAGCAAAGTGGCTAATTCTAAGGTGAGCAGTGAGAATACCCATCTTAGAAATCTTGCTACCTCTGGAAATTAAGCTACTTGACTCTGGGCTGTATGGACTATGTAGCACAGCTACACTAAGCTAAGCAGGAACCTGAAAAGATCATAATACACACAGGAAATCACTCCAGCTCAGGAGGTAGCTTGGAAAGAGGTATGTGTATTTGTTACTAAACAGAGAAGATTTTGGGCCACATCCAGCATGTTGTATAAGCAGAGGGGAAAAAGTTAACTAGTCGTAGCACCTTGGAACGCTGCGTGGTGGCTTCCTGGCTTTGTGGGACAAGACAGGGGAATCGTTTTTACCGTGCTAAATGCTGTGCGGGTGGGAAGCTGGGCTCTGATGGAGGAGTTCTGTGCAGAGCTCGCTCCTTCCAGCTGCATTTGTACTCTTATTTTAACTTTATATTACTTATCCCCACTTACTTGGGTAGCAGGTGAGCTACCCATGCAAGGCATCCCCGATTACCAAAGCTGCCTCTGGCTGTTCTGGCCTCGTCATGGCTCTTGTCAGTGTCATCTTTGTTTCCCAATGCCAAAGGTGTCTGGCACTACTAAAAATCAGACTGTCTGCTCACTGCTACATGGTCCCTCACAGTGTCCTTTGAATCAGACCCATCATCTGCTGCTGGCTCTAAGAGTCCACTGATGGGAAACTGAAAATGAAAAGGTCTGCTTTTCATGGGTTTGGTGAGCCCTGAATTCCAGAGCAAATAGTTGCAAATGCCTGACTTCTTCTGCTTGTAGGTAGGAACTGAATTGATCCGGGGAGTGTCCGGAGGGGAGCGGAAGAGAACCAACATTGGGATGGAGCTCATCACAGAGCCACCAGTTCTTTTTCTGGACGAGCCAACAACTGGCCTTGATGCCAGCACAGCCAACGCTGTTCTCATCCTCCTGAAGAAGTAAGAGTTGATTCCTCAGGGCTCTGCTGAAATTTCTTTGCTATCTCATTATTTAAAAAAGGAATGTTGCTATGACTTAGTAGCTACAATGTTTGTGGTATGTGTTTGTTTTTTTTCTTAAAGCTAGACTAGCAGACTCAGAAGTGGTTGTAAACTCTTTATCTGGGTCTTGTCCAAAGCTTTTTGAAGTTGATGGGAATCTTTCCACAGCAAGCATTGGACTGGAGCCCAAAAAGCAGATGTAGCTTGGACAGCTTCCCTTTGCCACAGAGAGGGGTAGACTGTGAGGTCAAGCCTTGTAATCATAGTTTATTGGCCTTCAGGCTGAGCCTATTACAAAAGCTTTTCCTCTGTTATGACAATGGCCTGTAACTCAGATCCAACTTCACCTGCATTTTTGCCCTCAGTGCTCCCTGTTATCTGCTTTGGAGATGAACTATCTTCTGCTGCAAAGAGGTCCAAATGAGGCTAATGTAATGAGAATGAGTTCCTAACACTCCTCCTGTGTTTGTGGCATATTGTCTGATTTTGTCCAGGGGTACCTCTTACCCTGCTGCTTGTGGATAGAGGGTCTTAATCATGGGAGATACTTGTTGGGCATCAGTGACAAAGCATTTGAAAAAGCATCTGACAAACCTGAAGAAAAACTAGTTTTGACTTCTGTAAAGAGTAAGTCCTCGGCAGAAGAGCTAGGAGAAACCTCAGCTGACCAGACTTCAGCAGCCTGCTGTGTAAAGCCTGGCTATGCCACTGAGTGCAATGGGACCCTTCCTGTTAGTCACGCTGAAACCTGGTACAGAAAACTTATAAGGAGGATTTATATACAGCTATGGTTAACCTTTGTGCTTAACCTTTGCTAGCCACAGACAACATAACATTCTGCCTACCTGGACTGCAGCAAGTCTCTTGTAATGATGGGTGCTTGAAGGTCTTGCAGGCAGCATCTGACATGTTGAGAGAGAAGTAGGAACTAGAACTTTAATGGATTGAGACTCTAGCAAGCTGACAAGCTTTTGTCTTGGATTTGGATGCTTATATTTTGCTTCAGCTAATATGACTATTCTGAATTGCAAAGTGTGGTGTATTTGGGAGAATTTTTGTTTCTATTTCAGGCTCTCTAGAAGAGGCCGAACCATCATATTTTCCATCCATCAGCCCCGCTATTCCATATTCAAGCTGTTTGACAGCCTGACGTTACTGGCCTTGGGGAAGGTGCTGTACCATGGTCCTGCAAACCAGGCCCTGGACTATTTTAGTTCTATTGGTAAGCTTTCTGTGCCAAGAGTAACATTAATCAGCTGCCATGTTTAAACTGTCAGTAGGTTCTTACCCTTGTGCTCGATAAAACTCTTGTGCTATTTTATCACTACAATACTATAGGCTGTACATAGACAATCCGAATAATGTTAGGTTAGAATTAGAAAACATGAAATAATAAAAATAAAAAAGGTAGAATAGAGCACAGCCATCTCTTGCCTTTGTTTTGACTTGTACCAGGCCAAAGAAACAAAATTGCTTGGACATTTAGAAGCATGATGCACAACAGACAAGATGATGCTCCTAGTTCTGCCAAGCCTAGATGGCAGACCCGGTCAGTTTTGAACCACAGCCTGCAGATTGGCAGCAATCTGCAGAGGCTGATCCAAGAATCTGCTCTAGTCTGAACGTAGGTGGGTGACTGAATGGGCAAAACCATGGTGTGTCTTAAGTTGGATTAATAATTGCAGTGTTGGTTGGCTGCCCCCTCTACTGATAAGGAGGATGAGGGTTTCTGACTATAATGGACAGAGAACATGGAGTGAATTCCCAGTATAGATGCAGTCATGGACATTGGATTGCAAGCTTTGATTGCAAGCTTTTTTCACTGGGAAGGAGCCAAGAGTTGTCCATGCTGAGCTCTGTAGAAAGAAGCAAGCTGAAGATTTCTCCTTATCTGAAATCAGTGAGGAATAAGCAGCTCTGAAACTCCATATAGATACCTCAGTTTCACCATCTACCAAATCCTGCTCATTCTACTGTTGTAAACTAATGTTCATGAAAAGCAGGGAAGCAGTGGTTTTCTCTCATAGCAGGGTGATATAGTATTAAACCTCACTTTTCAAGCTGTGCTCTGTGTAGTACAAACATGTTGTTGTATGGGTTTTGTTTATTTATTTATTTTTAAGGATATGAATGTGAACCCTTTAACAACCCAGCTGACTTCTTCCTCGATATCATAAATGGTGATTCAACTGCTGTAGCAGCAAACAAGGAAGTTAATGAACCCGTGGACACAGGAAAAGGTAACTGGTCAAGGAGTAACCCACCTGGGTTAAATGTAGTTATGGCAAGCTTTTATTCTCTGTGTTTTCTCCATTCTAAAGACACTACTATCTTTTTATTTTTCCTACTAATAGATATACTTTGCTTTGGGCTAGTTTCAAGATCTCAGAAGACTTAAAAGGGATTTTTTTCTTCCTTCAGTAATATAGGAGGTCAGTGGTAGATATTAGTTGTCTGCAAAATGTAGGAAAGACAGAAAAACTAGAATTGCTTAGTCTCAAGAAATAGCTGAGAAAAGAAGACAAGCTTTCAGTCATGTAAGAGGCTGCCATATGGAAGAAGACAGATAGGCCTAAGAGTAATAGATTTATGTGGCATCAAGAATGATTAAATAGAACTACACGTGAAAACAAATTCTCTAACAATATTGTGAGTGAATGTTGGAAAAGATTTGTCTGGGGATGCTTTAGCATATCCATGACTGAAGGATTTTAAGGGAACAGTGTTCATAATGGTGCCTTTTGGGAAACAGATCATGTCAAATCATTGATTTCCCAAAAATCCCATGAAGGTTTTCTAATGGCTTATTCTAAGACTGTGGCCATGTTTATGCCACAAAGAACACACAGATGATCTAGGCTGGATTAAAACTTCAGGGAAACCCTCTCACTCAAGCTCTTCTCTTAAGCTCAGAGCTACAGTTTGAATTATTCAAATTCTCTGGCTATTCCTGATATATGATCATATCTATGATCATATCTTTGTCCAGCCTCCAGAGCAGACCCATGTTGATGGGCCATGTTTGAAGGTAGCAGTTCATGGGGAATCACAAGCCGTATCTTGTCTTTGCCACTTAGAGGTGAACAGTGAAAATGGAGCGGTGGAACAGAATGTGGTCAGCAGTGTGGTGGATGTGCTACACCAGAAGTACCTCAACTCCAGCCTGTACCAGAGCACAAAGGAAGCGCTGGCAAAAGTGGAGCTGGGACGGGGAAGCAATCATAAAGTATCCAAACAAGGGCATGAGATTACCTATGCAAATGGATTCTTCACCCAGCTGTACTGGGTGTCCAAACGTTCCCTGAAAAACCTCATCAGGAACCCACAGGCCTCTGTTGCACAGGTTGGTAACAATTGTTAGAAGTCTCAGACTCCTGATCTCAGTCCCACAGTCTGAAGTTTGTTGAGCACACTTCTGTTTTCAAAGTCAGGGGAACAGAAAAGTCATGTGCCACTACCACTCAGGTTGTTGCCTTTGGAAAAACAAAACAAAACAAAACAAAAACAGCAGAAGGACTATGGCACTGAATACTGGGGAGTGGGGGAAATGCTCCATTATCTGGTTCACATGGGGAGCTTCCAGGGAGACATAAATCTTGCGGCTTACTTGACATTTCAAGCTGGGATGTTTTTTGAGTGTGCTTCTGCTAGCTTTTACGAGCTAAAGAAGATCAAAGGAAGGAGAAAAGGGAAAAGGATAAACCACGACAATTTGGCATTAGGTTTATAATTGTATGTGTTTTATGTTTACATGGATTCACACTGCAAAGTTTTAGGTAGGCATGAATGTTAAACCCTGTATATACCTTAATGACCATCTAGTGCTTTGTCCCTATTTGCCCATCTGAAGGACTCCATTCTCCCTTTCCTCTTTTCACTTCCAGATTGCAGTGACCATAATTCTAGCCTTGGTTGTGGGGGCCATTTTTTTTGGTGTAAAACTGGATCAAAGTGGCATTCAGAATCGGTAAGTTGGAAAGATGCAGCTTGCTCATTTCTGTGCCAATAGACCACAGGTTTCTCTGGAAGGAAGCCTCTGGAAGGAAGGCTCTCCTTCAAGGAAGGCTCTGGTCTCTGCTTGGACCACAAAGGCAGGTTGGGTTCACCAGCCTGAACACCCTGCAGAATGGCACTATCAGAGGTCCTAAAGGAACCACAGTTCCATTGGGCTTCCACGTGTCTGAAGGAGATGTGCAGGCGAAGACAAAGGAATAAACCTGACTTTGCAGCTAAGATCTACAGTAGCATAATTAAATATCTCTGTTCTATGGACAGAGACAGAAAAGTGCTGTCTTGAACTTGGCTGTTTCTTCACTTCTTGACTGCTGTTTTGTCTTTCTAGCGTTGGATCCTTGTTTTTTGTCACCACAAACCAATGCTTTTCCAGTGTCTCTGCAATTGAGTTGTTCATCAGAGACAAGAAACTATTTGTGTAAGTAGAGATGTTCTTGGACCATTTCCTACCCTGCAGTGAGGGGGGGAAATATCTTAAAAGCTAACAAAAAATATTTCTACTAACAAGAACTTGAGAGTTGATTTCTCCTTTACATCCTTTACATCCTTTACATCCTTTCTCCATTGCATCCTTTACATCAGGATGCAATAGTAGTGCTAAATCAGTCAGTAAAGCAAGGAGCTCAAATGCTAAGAAGTGAGGGAATGAAGGGAGAAGTAAAATGCTTTTACTTGCTTGCTGTATCACAGTTTACCGAGAAGTGCTTTTTCCACTTCTGGTAACAGCCTGTTCTTGAAGTCTGCATGTGAATCCTGAAGATTGTGAACCCTGCCTGCCCTCTTGCTGGCCTGGTTGAAACAGGGTTTTGCAGTGGTCCCAAAGTGGTAAGACTGTGCAAAGATGAAGGGGGAGTTCTTAGAAAATCTTCTCAAAGGATGCGCAGAAGAAAAGGGCTGCTGACTGGCTTACAAGATATTTTTAACAATCAAGTATATCTGTCTATATACATATGTATATTAAATGCATATGTAAATGTGTGTATGTATTTGTGTGCATAAAGAAGTGTGTATATATACATGTTGAAAACATGGTTTGGAATAGCCTCCAGCTCATGGGATGAAAGGGCAAAAGACATGCAGTAAAAAGGAAATCAGAGATTTGTGCCTGGAAAATGAGTGTTGTGTTTTTGTGAGGCACTAGTTTAGATGTGCACACGACCACTGGCAGCTTGCTCAGAACTGCTTAGTACTACACCTAACAGCTGCTCAGGAATGAATCTCTGACATTTCTTGCTAGTCTGGCCTGCTTACCAACTTGGTGGGGATTCTGGCACCTTACCACTTGAGTCTTTCCATGAGCTCCATTATGCAGCAAGGCAATCATATTTAATTGCCCTGTGAACTGGAGGTGAGTTAATGTCCTACAGGTGTTTTCTCATTCTTGGCTATCATTCCTTCTCCCTTAGAAACAGTTGTATGAGATAGCTGTGGATAAACTGTTCCTCCAGTTAATCTCATACTTTCCCCTGCTCTTGTGTTTAGGATCATTCTCTTTGAACAGAGCTTTAGGAGCCTTTTTCCAATATGCTATTTAGTAGTCTAAATCATTCTCATTCATCTTCTCAGAGTGCTCCCAGCATTGCTGCAGGGCCTGTGAGATAGATGAGCCCTTACTTTGGAGTGGGAAGTGGCAGCACAGAGAAAATAATCAACTTGCATATAGAGGAGTCAGTGGTAGAAAGAACAAACTGAATCAGGATAAACCAGACACACATACTGAACCTAGATAACCTCTAAACCTGTAAAACTTGCCTCCTTCCTGTCCTCACAGTCATCAGTACACCAGTGGATATTACCGTGTGTCTGCCTACTTCCTGGCCTTGATGATAGGAGATCTACTGCCCATGAGAACTGCTCCAGCCATCATATTCTCATGCATCACTTACTGGATGATTGGTAATGAACTGATGCTTTCATTGAACCTGTCGTCTTCTAACACGTTTGATTTCTGACTTAGCCAGAGTTTATTTTGTTTATCTAAATTGAAACTGGTTGAACCCTCAGCTGATTTTAAGTGCTTGGCATCATAACTTCTGAAGACTCTGGAGCAGGGGCAGAGACACCAGCAATCAGAGATGGGGACCTGCTTGTCCATGTCTTTTGGTACTGCTTTAGAGCATTCACAGTTGCTGCCAACTCCAGACTCAGCCTTTCTTCCTCCTTTTCATGTCTTGTATGGGAGCCCGAGGGTACCTCTCCGAGGTTCATGATGTGACTATTAACTGGACTTTTTCTTTCTGCTTTTTGACAGGATACCAAGCTGTTGCAGGCCGATTCTTCTTCTTCATGCTGGCCCTGATACTGGTGTCGTACACTGCCACAGCCATGTCTCTGGCTATCAGTGCTGGGATGGAAGTAGTGGCTGTGGCGAATCTGCTCATCACTATTTGTTTTGTCCTGATGCTTGTAAGTATATAAGATGCACAGATGGATTTAGGAGACAGGCTCTGTACAGGAATGGGTCCAGTAGCTTGTTACTCTCTGCCTGCAATTTTACTGATGCTATAGTCAGACTTTAGTCAGTCTGCTAAATTGTAATCTAAGGGTCAAACCTTTGCTCAAATGCAGTTCTGTAGGTGTGGTGCCACCAGAGCTGTGCTAAAAGTGTGCCTCAAAAAGGTGTTTTTTCAAATTGTCCTTAGAAAAAAAGGACAGTATTACAAATCTAAGTGATCAACTAGATTGCTTAAAAGGAAAAAGTTTGAAATAAACTTTAGATTAGCTGATTTTGTTGCAGTAACTTGGCTGCCCAGTGGGGTTTGCAGGAATGACATGGTTTGCAGTAAACTGTGTTTGTGACTCATCAGTCTCTTTTGTTCTCTTTCAGATCTTTTCAGGTCTTCTAGTAAACCTCCCTTCTGTAATGGGCTGGCTGAACTGGCTCAAGTACTTCAGCATCCCTCGATATGGCCTCACTGTGAGTAGAATATAGCATTGGTCTCCTGTGAGTAGGGGCTACCATGCTGCATCCTGGGGAGGTTTTGTGTATAAATGCAGTTCCCTTAAAAGTCTGGCTTGGTTTCTTTCCTCACATGAACATGGTGAAAGAACAAACGAGCCATCCTCAAAAAGGAAGAAAAGTTAATCTGTGTAAAAGGTGAAAGCCTTAAAGACTGAACAATTAATTTGTGCCACAATATTAGTACTGTTTTGACAGCAGCAGAGCAAACTGCCCAGTGAGGTGCTATTTCCTAACCTGAATAGTTGATTCCTCCTGCTTCATAGTGCTGATGCTGGGGTGTCACTATGCAGCCATATGGTTTTCTGGGAGAGGAGACTGACTCAGATAAAGGTGGATAAATGGGGACTTGTAGCTGGCAAGACAGAAACCCGTGGCTAAATCACTGAAATATAACTCTGAAGTTACAGATTCAGACACCAAATCATCCTGCATGTAGACGTTGGAGCAGTTCCTTGGAAAGTTAGTGGTTAAGAGATTCAGAATAAATGCTGAGAAGTAACTTTTCTGGGCCACTCAGTTCATGCCTAAAAGTAACATATGATTCCAAGAGTGGTGATATATATCTTCTAATAATCAAGCATCTTTGAGGTGTTTCAGCTTTAGCACCCCAAGTCATTAGCTCTTTGTAAAAAATTGCTGTCTGCCTCTTTCCCTAGGCTCTTCAAGTGAATGAGCTTAGGGGTCTCTACTTCTGTGGTGAGAAGGATCCAAATGTTACAGTGTCTGTGGGAGATGCAGGCAGTTGTCCTTCAGTTACTTCAGGAGAAATGTAAGTATTTACCTCATGACTGTTCTTGGGTCTGAATTGCAATGGCTTGCTACAGGACAAGTCAGACTATTTCAGAGCTTACAATTACCCAGAGAATAAGTGTTTGTGAGAGTAAGTGAACTGTTTCTATAGCTTTGGGCCCCAAACCCCTGCTGTGGGCCTCCAGTTACTGATGCATAAAACTAAATATTTTTATATGTATCATAGTCTGATGTGGTTCTGAGGCTTGCTCATAAACTGCCAGTTATCTGTAAGAAACAATTTTGATGCTATCGAATCATCTGAAAAATTATGAGAACAAAAGATCCAGATTTGTCCCTTAAGCTTTATTTTTTCATGGTAAGTCACTCTATTTCCATCACCTCTGTCTTGCAGAATTGTGGGTAGAGAAATCTGTGCATGACAGGAAAATAAAAGTAACCAACTGAAGACTCACAGTATCTTGCACCAGATATAATAAACTTCTGTCCCATGCTTTTCTGCAGGTGTTCTGGTGAAGCATACCTGTGCAGCCAAGGAATTGCACCTACCAACTGGGCAATGTGGGAAAACATAGTGGCTCTCTTCTGCATGACTGTTATCTTCCTCATCATTGCCTATGCCAAACTACGGTTTATGAGAAAGTTCACATAGATTCCTGCACTGCCTTGCTCTGCAACTTCTCAGGTCTTAAAACAGCAAAGCTTGTTAAAGCCTGCTGGAGGTTGCCAAAGATTTTAACTGACTCTTTAGTGGACTTAAGATGGAAATCCTGTCCCACTGTTTCTGGACCATGATCTCCATATAATTGTATGATTTTGTTTTTTAAGAGGAAATGTATTACTGTAAGATTGCATAAATAATTTTTTTTTTTTTTGTAAGGGAATATATTTCTCATAATTCTTAGGTGCTTATCAAACTGTTTGTTATAGAGCTTCATTCTTCTGTGGCTAACTTTTACAGGAAATATACACAAGGAAACATTTTCCTTTGGAAGTGTGAGCTTCTCCACCACATGGCATAAAGTAATGATGACATTTATGCGTAGATATGTTGCCTCTTGTTAGTGCCCATCACACCTGAGGAGAGCCAGAAACCATTCAAAATGAGTTGGAGATGCATTCAAGGTTGAAGTCTATACAGGGAATGTGCTCTCAGTGCCAGGCAAGAGTTATACTTCTAGTAGCTCCTCTGTGGAAGACACTTGCAGAAGCAGCTTTTGCTGATGGCATCTAAACAGTGGTATAAGCCGTGGAACCTAAGAGTGAGAAATATGATGACAGTTGTACTGTAAAAATGAATTCTATATTACTTAAGAAGGGATTTTGTTCCCCTCTTTTTTAATAAGTGAATAAAAACCTGTATGTATGGTAAATCTTTTTAGCAGGCTTCCTGTTTGGCTGTGCCATTTCTATATAGAGATGCATATATATATATACTATGCTATACTATATATATACCATGCTATACTATATATATATACTATGCCATGCTATATATATATGCTATATATCAATGCTATATATAGTATAGCGTGTGTGTGTATACATATATATACTATATATCATACTATGCACAGATTAAGACACAGAGCTCCTGCTGTGGTAACCGCAGCAAAGCTTGACACAGCACAGCCTGCAGCGTGCCAGCAGCTGTCCCCTTACAACCCCAGCTTTGAGGCTGCACGAAGCCCCTCACACGCAGCGCAGCTGCTACGCCAAGGGAAACACTGCCAGCATGTGCTGCGGACGGCTGGGCGAGCCGCAACCCTTGGAACGGGGCTGCCCTGCCAAAGTGCAATAAATGTTCGGGTCACGGTGTCCTCGGGGTACGGGGTACGGGGTACGGGGCCGGAGCCTCCCCTAACGCGGCGGGGGCAGCAGCGCCCCCGCCGGGCAGCGCCCAGCGTTGCGAGAGGGCCCCGGCCCGCCCCGCTTCTCCAGGGCCGCGCCTGCGCCGCCATGGCGAGGGGCGGAACCGCGGCCTGGCTGAGGGCGGCGGCGGCGGCGGGGGCCGGGGCAGGGGCCTGTCGCCATGGCGACCGCGGCGGAGGGGCTGCCCGAGGCCGGCGCGCAGCCCGCCAAGCGTAAGGGGCCGGGGGTCAGGGGGGGCTCCGTGGCGGCGGTGGGGCCGTGGTGGGGCGCTGGGGGTCTCTCCGTTCGGGCCGGGCGAAAGCTGTCACAGGACAAAGAGCACGCTGCCGGGCTGTGGGAGAGCAGAGCAAGGGCCGAGTGTGGTGGAGATGGGTTTCGAGGAGGGGAGCGCTGATCGTCGTTTGCCGTGGGTGGCAATCCGTGTTTGTCCCTCGTGAAGCGGGCTTGGGGCAGTTTTTGTATGTTAAGGCAGCGACTAGAAATAAAAATCAATGTAATTGTGCACAAAGTTCTTAGAGGCAACGTCTTGCAGAAGTTCTCCACATACTCCTTTGAAGCAGGGCTGCATTCAGGCCAGGTGCCTTTCCCTTACACATTTCCCAGCGTATTACTGAAAAATAATCTTGATATTTCTTTAAGGAAAAGGCTTGGTTTGTTCTCCTCTTGTGCAAAGTAGACCATTTATACAGAAAGTAGGCATAGTCAACACCAGCAACAAAACAACAACACCAACAAAAATAAAGCACTTGGACCTTTTCATTTTTATGGCTTGTTTCTGTACCTGCTAACCTTCTCTAACTCAATAATGCATGTGCCCTGATTAGAGGATCCTGCTGTTGAAACAGCCGAGGAAGCTAAGGAGCCCGCAGAAGCGGACATCAATGAACTGTGTAAAGATATGTTCAGCAAAATGGCCACTTACTTAACAGGTGAACTGACAGGTAAGGCACTGCAGTACTGACAGGCAAGTACATTTTTGTTTCTTTTCATATTTTTTCCAGGAACTCTGTTGTGTTGCTTGTATAAACTATACCTATTTTATCATATCTGACAATGCTAGCAGTAACTGTTCTGTTCCTCATAGGTGCTTCACATGCGTATGTTTTAAAAATCAGCAGTCTTGTCCAACTGCTTTGAGCCTGTATCAGGCAATCATACAATTATATAGGTTGGAAGGGACCTCTGTAGGTCATCTAATCTAATTCTGCGTTAAAAGCAAGGGAAACTCAGCCGTTAGGTTACTTAAGTAGATACCTGTCTAGCTGAGATGCTTCATAAGGTTGATGATCTGTCTGATATGATCATCCTTTCACATCTAAGACGATCTCTTATCTCTGTTAAACAGATAGGGGACTGCAGGAAGTGGAAACTTGCTAATTTATCTTTTTAATTTCACTGGATTCTGTCTTGAAAATCTGAATGAAAGTGACTTTGGTAAAACAGGCAGGGAAGTCTGTGAGGCTGAAAAAATTCAGGGATTGCCCAAAGCTCTATCAACCATTCTGATCTTTGAAGCATTCTTCCTGTATATGTTTTGCTGAATTGGAGCCTGTCTTTGGAATGACATTTTCCTTCCACACGAAGTTTCTCAAGTTTGCTTGTTTCTTGTTTGTTTGCTATTTTTTTTTTAGAAAAAAATCATGAGTCCAATTGATTTTTACATTTCACAGAATGTCATTTCTTTTTGTACATCATTATACTAATACCTCTACTACCACCTAAATTATTCTTCATTATATTTAGCTATTGTTTTGAAATTTCTTGTTCTCTAGAAGAGTCTGCACCCAGTTCAACCTGCATGAACATTAAAATGCACTCTGTTGTTTTTAAGCCACCAGTGAAGACTACAAACTCTTGGAAAACATGAACAAGTTGACTAGCTTGAAGTACCTAGAAATGAAAGATATTGCCATAAACATCAGTAGAAATCTGAAGGATTTAAATCAAAAATGTAAGTAAACCAAATAAGGGAGGGGTATAATTAACTATAGACTTGTATGGGAAATTAAACATCTAAGATTTGATAGTTTACACTCCAATAGGCTCTCAGGGAAAGAAAACTCACTGAAATATACATGCTGTTAGACAATGCCAATCTTCTGTATATCTTTACAAAACTACAGTCTACATAGACTAGCATAAGAGAATTTATGTCCTGTTCTACCCCAAATTTTGGACTGATAGGGATTAAATAACAATTCTTTTGCTGTACGTTGTTTTTCTATTTGTGTGGAGTCTAGCCAGTAAGCTTTTTCCAGTAATCCAGTCTAGCCTCTTAAACTTTTTGTAAGTTGCTGGAATATGGCTATCAGCATCACCACTCAATTTTGGGGTAGGAAAAGGAAGGAGCTTTTGAAGTATTGTGTCTGGAGAACATTATGATAAATTCTTATGTTTGAAGTATGAACTATTTCCTGGAATTGAATTAACAAGAACTAACAGCTTTGCTTTTTTTTTTTTTAAAGATGCTGCTCTTCAGCCATATCTGGAACAAATCAACCTAATTGAGGAGCAGGTTGCAGCTCTGGAGCAAGCAGCTTATAAACTGGATGCATATTCCAAAAAACTTGGTAACTATTATCTTCTACTGTTACTACCTAGCAACATATTCTCTTATAAGGAGATTTCCCAAGACAAAGTAAACTCTTACTTTATTTAACAATTCTGAGTGACAGAGTTGCCCGTGCAGCATAATGTTGATCCACTTCCAGTTAATGAACATTAGAAATGTGTGTGAAGTGGTAAGAGTTGATAAAAGATTAATATATCAAGTTACATGGAGATAAAATACAGGTATTATTGAACTACAACTTGTTAATGAAGCGTGATTTCTTTTTTGCAGTGTGAACTGATGCAAAGTTTAAAGATAGATATTTAATCCCACAAATAGAGATTTATTAAGTTCCACCAGGCATCCAAGTCTCCTTGGCTTAAGTTAGTATGGGTTGTCTGACTTAAGCACCTAGATCTTGACAATCCCATTTTTCAATTAGATTTGCCTAAGTACTTTAGGAAAAAATGGTCTCAAGTGATTTCTTTAAATTAACTTGGTTGTAAGATGTCTTGTATTGCTGCATACAAGATTTAAGATTTTTACCTATTGAGTCCTAAAATACTGTTACTTTTCCTCTTGCAGAAGCCAAGTACAAAAAACTGGAGAAACGATGAAATTACAACAATCTTTAAGTTGGACTTTAAGTTGGACTTAAGTTGGGCTATGAGTCAGACTGATCCCTGTTTAAGTTACACAATACCAGTTTTATATGTTGACAAGGATTTGGTAACAGCTAACATCCTGACTGGTAATCTTTTATATCTATTGAATACAGTAGGCTGTATTCATGCTTAAGGCTGAATGACATTTTCCTCTTCTAAAATGTTTCTGTTGCTTCCGTTGTTACACGGTGAAAAGTTGAAACTTGTCTCTAACAGGTATGTTGATACTGGCTATCCGTGTTAGTCCTATGTCCCACATGAAACATTCTACCTAGGAAAAGCTTTGCATAACCTATAAAGATGTTTTCCCATAGTAGCAGCAGGTTTATCCTAAACCTATTTTTTTCGTTCATTGAGTTCTGCATTAAGAAGATTCCCTGGCCTTTGGAGATATAAATGCGATACTGAAAATACTTGAGTTTGATATCCATCTTTATCTGTTTGCAATAGAGAGACTAGTTACGATAAATTTACAATAAAACAACTTGCTGCATTTGTCTCTCTGGAATCTCAAATTCCTGTTGGAAAGACTATGTAAGTTGTCCTTTTATTTTTCAAAGGGTCTGTTAATAAAGACAAACTCTTTCCAGTTACTGGAGATCATACAAGAGAACATGCTTTAAACTCTGTGCCAAGTATTTCTTCACTTATATTCTTTACCTGTCCTGAACTCAGGTGGAATTATTGTATCAAATTATCACATGCTTAGCAAACTTAGCGTATTCTTTCTCTGCTTTCCCAGTGAAGTTTTGTATAATATTTTGATCCTAGTAGTTTTTGAAGGGGCATGCCCAGCAAATAAACCTCCTTCTATACAAGATTAACAATGCTCCAAATTGCTAATTTAACAAGGCCCTTTTCACTGAACAGAAACTCCCACTCAAAATTTGTGGGTTTTTGGTTCCTGCTGACTCATACTAGTTGAAGTTAGCTTTTGAGTGAGTTGGCAGTAGATGATACTACAAATGCTGATGTAGGAAAGAGGAAGTTCAAACTTCTTACAGACTATGTAGAAGAATGATTAGTCAGGTGACAATATGGTAAAATTCATAATTCTGTGTACAGCCACTGATTGACAGTTTTTCCTAGTGCTATGTAAAAGCAGTGAAGCAAGACCTCTGAGAGCCTTCAGCATCACTTTAAAAATCCTGGGTTTAACATGGTAAATACTATTCTGGATGGCCTTGATGTAGGATTTGAGAAGGCCAAGTTCACTTTGAAAGATTTTCTTGAATGAGTATCTTAAGAACAGGGTTAAGTCTCCCAGAGGCATCCATGCATTTGT